AATTTTCTGTACATATTCATGTTATGATGGTTGCACAAAGGACTTGATAGACTTACCACTGGATAACAAGTTCCTTTAACACTTTGATACATTTGATTGCAAGTATAGAATTTGTATGGAAAGAATATAAATTCTAAACAATTCAATTACCTAGAACTTATTTATATGAAAATTAGTAATTAAATGTGTTTAATTGATTTAGTTTTCAATCTAAAAAATATTTTACTTGTCTATTTTTTATTGGTGGGTAGATGAGAGAATGGATAGATGAGAGAATGGATAGATGAGAGAGAGTGAATTTTTTAGAAAATAAAATCCTACGCTTCCAAAAGAAAATATAATCAAGAAAAAATGGTCAAGTGACCAAAACTAAGAAAATACTTTCATTCGAAAACTTTGTCAATCAAACAAAACAAGAGTAAGAATTTGGGTGGAAAAAACACATTTTCTATGGAATATATTGGTAATCAAACACACTCTAAAAGTTTCATAAATCTAGTAATAACCTTTACTGGGATTCATAAATCTAGTGATAACCTTTACTGGGAAACAACTTATTTCTTACCGTATTCTAATCCAACATTCAGATTAAGATAAAACAAATAAAATACATGCACAAACAATGAAGGAATACACATGCCAAAAGAGAAAGAGAAGCGAACAAAGAGATACCAACCAAAACAAAATATGAAAATGACAGAAGTACAACCATGATAAAAGAGCAAATCATATAGATAAAACAATTTTTTTTTTTTTTTTTTTCATTTCAGGCGGCTAAAATCTACATAGTCAAAAGCACAGACAACAGCAGAATAAATGTGGATACATCTATAAATAATCATCAAAGGGGAAAATAGATTGCCGGAGTTATCTAAATTGAAAATTTAATTCAAAACTGACCATTAAAGTTCTATTACCTGCTGCCACTGTGTTCTGTTAGTGACAACATTTCGATAACATTTTACAATGTGTGAGAATAATTGCCATTCGGTATCATACTTCCTATTATTCACCTTTCATTTATAATACCACAAAGTTATGTAAATTAGAAACATAATGCAATTCAATCCAGATTATTGGTTAGGAAATTTGAGATTTTTCTGTGCGACGAACTTGGATACTATTAAAAATCATAAAGGCAAAGATTGGAACATAAAATTCTCCTTAGTCCATTTTATACCCGTATATAGACACATACCTAAGTCCAATGTCCATTCTTGAATCCAAGTAGAATCCTTTAAAGCCTTTTCCAGGTCAATCTATATGGAAAACCTGCACTTTATACTGGGAATTAGGAGTGAAATCCCAATTACAAATTCTGTGACCTTGCTTGAAGGAAGGCAAAGAAACTTCAAGATATACAGTTTATTTAATTTTACATGTACATATAGAATAACACATAACACGGACACGGACACGACACGGACACGGACACGGACACGACCACGACACGATAAGACACAATGGTACATAAATTTCAAAAAAAAAGTGGGCACAAACACGTCATGAACACATTAATTTAAACTTTTAAAATTTAATAAAAATCACTTTTTGAGTTTTGGTTTTTGTTGGTGAACTCTTTTAAATCAAACGAGCGGCTATTTGTCATATTAACATAAATGAGTTAAACTTGTGCAAAAATAGGAAATATCAGACACCGCTTGGAGTCTAAGGAGTATCGGCGTCCAATCCGACACGATACATGTCGGACATGGACATTTCACCTTCCATGCTTCATAGTTCACATCAAGTATTATACACGTACTTATAATCTGCCGAGTAATTTTAGGATTGCTATAACAATATATTTTTTTATTTTTCAATTCTGTTTTCACTCTTTTTTGGGTGTCCTCAAAATTGTATTTCTTGGTTTACCAGTTTAGGGATATTATAGTTATAAACATCAAGTCCCACAACATACACTTACTTTTCCCTAAACCCGATTACACCACCGTCTTGTTGATAGTACAATCCCTTTAAGATGATCTAGGTTGATAACCATTTCAACTAGAATTTACCCAAATTCCACAGGGGAAAATAAGAATAGGAATGAGCCTAAGAAATCAAATTGCATTGTAAGCTAGGGAAATGGCAATAAATCTTCTTTCTTTGTTTGAATTTTACCCTTTCATCTCCCCAAATAAGACTTGAACCCAGGCCAATGACCTGGTAAATATTTGCTCTTACTACTTGAGCAAGGCCTTGTCTCAATAATCTTCTTTCTCCCATTACATGTGAAAAAAACTTTGGTGAAATTCACATCAAAGCAAATGCATTGAATTTGAGGAACATAATAATACTAAGGTGTTAGTAATGACAGCGAGGCATTCACCTTAGGCTTACACACTCGTATAACTGAAATAGGAAAGTAGACAACATCGAAATGCTCACTAAATTATACATTAATTAAGGAACAAAACACTCAGGTGGAGTTGTTTAATGAAATAATAGTCTACAATTTTATTAAACTTTCACACATTTACAATTGTTTGAGATTCTTAATGACGCTGCAATAGTCAAATCTGGCAGATTGTTGTCCTCGGAATATAATACTGGCATAAAAGTTGTGCAATGAATGAATTTGGACCCATATGATAAGATATGAACCAGACAAACTAAAGAAAAACGATTCAGGTAGTTGACATAACTTTATTGAAAATGTGGCTTTTGTTGTTGTATATCATACATCTTAAGAAATGTTGATACAATGCTTGGATCATTGAAAAGTGGTTTTTCTTATAATAAAAATGACATAAAATAAATTTATTATTCCACAATTATCTCCAGATAAAAATTTCAAGAAGAGATATGACATTTGCCAGCCCAACTTGCCTATCTAGTGATTGGGCTTATCTCCTCAAGGTCATAGTGGAACTAGACATCAATTCAGTCATGACAACAAAAAAGAATAATGTTATTCCTCATTAGTAGAGATCATGAGGTCTGTGTGGCAGTGGATCACTTAATTTATTGATCAATGTTTTAAAACGCATCAAAACTCTATTAGACAATGAATCAGATAATGATGATGTCTACAAATGATTAATGGCATTATTCAACGTAACAACCTAAAATAATATATACGAGTTAAATCCATCTTCACTGTGGAAGCCGTCTTACTAATTAGCCCCCGTTTGACCCACATTAATTTTCATTTCATTTTTCTCTCTCTAATTTTTAACCACACAATCTTTCATAAAATAATATTACTCGTAAACCAAAAACTTTTCTTTCTTTTTTAACCACCCATTTTTCAAAAAACCACTATTCCACCTATTTTCATTTCCACAAAATGGGAGCCAAACAGGTAATAAAATCTGAAAAGCATAAGAGGTTGCTGTCTTATCAGTATCCAAATCAGATACATAGGCTCAAAACTAATGTTTTAGTTCAAACGAGCATTAATTGAATTCCTAAAGACATTTCAAGTGAAAAGAAACAAAATACAACATGGACTGCCAAGAACTTATTATTTAAGGTTCATGTCCCTCCGCCACCATCAATCGTCATCATAAAGTCGGAACTTTTACTGTATTACGTGATGCTATATATTGATCCATATTGATCCGATCGCACTTTTTAAAGCCAACAAAATAACTAGATTTTTTAAGCCACCACAAAACCGTCCTAATTTTAACCTTGTCAATATGATAATCATTTGAAAGATTCAACAAATTCGAAATGGAGAACATAACACTAGTACTATCAACACGAAAATTTATTAATTCCTTCCGCTGCAGATATCCTTCAAGAATTCTTTAGACTACATGATCCATGAACAAATCAATAGAATATTTAAATACCCATCTTTCCATTAAATTACACGTCGATGGCATTTAAGGATGAAACATTGAAGGCCAATATTCAATTAAATACAAATAGAACAAATAGACATTAAACTGAGTTCATAAAAGAGAACACGAAACTCTTTCAGGAAACATATATAAACACAAAGAATGCAGATTTAGTATCTACAAAAGCAACAGGCTTCGGGTAATATAGCAAACAATTGTTTAAACATTCCGAAGTATTAATATAGCTAAAACTATATCAAACTGCCCCAAGAAAGAATACAAACATGAAAATCTTATAACATCAACACAAATGTGAAACTTATGACACAGCATGAAACCAAACCAGTATAAAGAAACAGTACCTGAGTGATCGAGTTTCTGTCTATTGGACCCAAAGCCAAGTATTAACTGCTGTTAAAACATTAATCGCAATCAGGGCTTATATAATTGGACAATAAATTAAGGAAAACGAAGGAATCGTTACCAGAAAGGAAATAAAATAAATGATCGGGCTAATTTGAAACCTGTGAAGGATTTTCCTTTCTTGTTCGTATAGACATGACTGTATGTATATATGGCCATAGAAGGAAACAAAAATCTTCCCATATTTGAGTTGCTTCCATATTATTGTAATTTGCAGTGAGAACGCTTCCTCGCAAACAATAGAAAATCAAATATTACATAACAGGTAAGATATGCATAGTTTAAGAGATAAAAATTCACATAAAATATAAAATCACATATTACCTTTACAAATAAAATTACAAATTTCGCATAAAACAACCTGTCTGAGCAACATAAGGCTGATATTGCTGAAGGAATGGATCAAGAATTGGGTAATAAATTATTTGCCCACAAGCAGAAAAATTGGCAGAAAAACAAAGGAGTTAGGTTTTCATATTTTTATTTTATTTCCAAGATGGCCCTAGAAATCGACACTTTTTCCGTTAAATCAGAACAGTAACCAGGCGTACCTTCTCAAACCCACTTCGTCCTCTCTAGAAGCAACATAAAAAATCACGCTCCACGGCTCCATCAATCATGGTATATTTTTATTTGGATTAGGTAAAACCGAACGAAAAAACAAAAAAATAAAAAAAAAAAAAAATTCATAAGCGATTAGCTAGGTAAAATCGAAAAATAAAATCTGCATAAACAAAACCAAATCGACAAGAACAAAAGCAAGTGTGTGTGTGTGTGTGTTCATGTATTTGTGTGTTAAATATGGTGGGATAATAGTGTTATATAATACATAAAAAGAGGGGCCTGTATTGTCTTCGTGTCATGTGGTGGTGGTGACACTGAAGCGGCAATAGTGTATGGATAGNTATAATACATAAAAAGAGGGGCCTGTATTGTCTTCGTGTCATGTGGTGGTGGTGACACTGAAGCGGCAATAGTGTATGGATAGGCTTGAAGTGCCGTATCAAAATGAATAATATTTTCCGTCAGCTTTTGGAATTGCAGGCGGCTATTTTCCTTTACTCTTTTCAGCTTTTTCCACATCTACTTTAGGCTGAATAAAGGGTGGAGGGCCGGAGGTTTATGATTAAAGCTATATATTAAACCAGAAAGGATAAATCGAGAAGGGAGCTGACAGAGAGAGCAGTGAGCACGCGCATCCACAAAGGTATACTTTTTATACAATTGTCTGCGTGTGCTCACTCTCTTCTGTCAGTACTCTATCGATCGTGTCCTCCTTATAAATTGACACAAAACTCATAGATTTATTGACAAGGATGCTATATATATCCATATGTATCAGATCTGAAAATTAAAGAAAGCCCACTTTTGGAAAGAAGTCCCTTTGCAATAAACGCATACAGAAATCATCTAACAGTTAGGGTTTTGTAGAGACACAGTGTGGATAGAGATTCATCTGTTTGTTTGTGTGCGCCAATAAAACCTAATCCAACCCCTCAAGAAAGCTTGCAGAATCTCTTTCTTCAATAGAATCTTTCACTTTCATTTTCATTATCTTCATGTATCAAACTGATCAAGAAACGCCATTGTCAATTTCCAAACTCTTGATTCAAGAACACAGTTATACAGAAGAAGACCTTAAAGAAGCAAGTGGCGATAGTGGGGTTGGGGTGGGGAGGGTACGGTATCCATGGCATGTGAGAACTTTTACTTTCTCTTCCACTACTTAATTGTCGTTTGGTTGTTATTCATGTACTCCATCCATCCATCTCTTCATCAGCGTACACCAAAAGGACAAAATACTTACGGGTGGGGTTTGCAGAAGGCTTCAGAAAGAGAGTGTTTTCCATGATGGATTGGCTGGTCGGGATTATTTGGGGCTACGTGGAGCTACAGGTTAATGTCGGATTGACTTGCTGGGTTCTTCTAATGTCAAGATTGTTACAGAGAAGAATTCTGAGCCGTTAGATTAAATGCTTGTTGTGGTCCTTTTGTTCTTGATGAATGGATGTTATTGGAAGTTGTAGCATTGATGATGGGGCTGCGTCATTTCAGGGAGACAGAGATTCAAGAATAATAAAAAATAACAAGAGCTTTTTTTAGAAATAAATAAAAAACTAAACGATTCTTTTCCCTTTTTTT